GTTTGTTGTGTGTTGTACGTTTGTGGTGTGTACATACATTTGCGTCTGTGGTGTGGTGGGTGTTGTGTGTACATTTTGGTGTGTGATGTGTGTGTGTGTGTGTTGGTTTGTACATGTGTATTAATGTTTTGTGTTTTTATCGCCACCACTATCACCACCACCATCTACATTTTCATCTCAACCATCGTTTTAAAATATTGAGACTGACTGACCTCTGAAGATGTGGATGTTGCCGATACTGTAGAATGATGAAGTTTCATTTTCATCATAATGATAATTCCCGTCATTGCAACCCCCACAACCACCGTGGTCGGTATCACGTGGTCCACCACCACCGCCACCACTACCACCACCGCCACCACCACCATTGTGGTCAGTATCACGTGGTTCATTCTTGGGCTGCAAATGACCGATGTACAAATTAATTGCTCTCTTTTTACCAACTTCGTATACTGCTTTGTTGTTTCTGTTGACGTTGTTGTTGATGTTATTATTATTATTATTGTTATTATTATTGTTATTGTTGTTGTTGTTGTTGTTGTTTACTTTTCTCATGGTCCTCTTAACTAGGGGCGTGTCATCGACCTGCCCATCGAGAGAGGCTGTGCCCTGGACAGTTTCAAATAAGTCATCCGCCATTAACATCAAATGCTTACTCTTTGCTAACAATTATTTCAGAAACATGATAAAAAATACATAAATATTTTCAAATCTATTTTTAATAAGAGATAATAAAATTAAATTTTAATTTCTATCATATGATTGGACAAATGCAGATAGGACGATGAACATCCATTAAACCTTCCTAAAGCTCTATACGATCTTACAGCATGTTTGTTTGTTAAGCAGACATAAAATCCAAGGTTAGTTATATAACAAGTAAATATTGATGTTAATCATTGCTCTCTGTTCTCACAGTAAATGTGTTACAGGTAAACTTCATCATATCTGCAACATGTGAAATATTGCAGAAGAGCAACACTGGTATATCACATTTACCCTCAAAACAACGAAAGAGACGTTACATTTTCTAAGGTACGCTTCACACAACACATGCAAGGAAAACTACCTTGACAAGGCAGACGCCAAATTGTTCGGACTTTTCAGCTCTCAAACTCAGGATCACGTTGTGCCATTTGTTTCTCTGCAGGGTCAACTTTTTGAAGGTCATTTCTGTAACAAGGCGATGCTGTTGTTGTTGTTGTTGTTGATGATGCTGTTGTTGTTGTTGATGTTTTTGGTGATGTTGTTGTTGATGTTGTTGTTGTTGAGGAGGAGGATGACGATTGCGATGTCGACTGGGAATTGTTGTGTCCATTGTACCAGTCAGCATACAAGAGACTCTGCAGTTTTTTAAATTATGAAATGGATATATTTTTTAAGATTATCGTCATCTTTCTTATGTTCATTGTGCATGATTAAAAATGAATAATCATGTTTGGCGTTTTCAAAAAAAATTCGAACTTTAGAGTGTTTATTTTCTACGTACAAAACCATTAACATCAATGCTGTATAATATATTTATTCGCATGCTGTGTAAATTATACTCCGAGAACTGTCTAGGAGTGAATAAAATAAACGAAAAACAAATATAGCAGTTAACACAGCGTTCTCATTATCGTTAAATATTAAAAAATAACCACAACAACAACAGCAACAACCCACCTGACACAGAGTTTCTTCTTCCGATCGATCCAGAACTGCAGCAGGCAGACTTCATCTCCGACACTCAGCAGGTGGTATTCACTTCCACCTCGCCACTTGTCCACCCGCATCCAGGTTGATATGCTCAACCGGGCATCTTCCTCCGGGAACCAGGTGACGAAACCTGTGAACGCCACAAAGAGCTCACAGGAAAACCTCCATTTCATTTTCTTACTCTCAGATGAGCCATTGCCGTCATCAATCACTTGGTCTTTAGGAATATTTGTTGAAAGATATCCATGATTTGGAAAAGTTTCAATCTCATTCACGGTTTCCTCTTCGATATTAACCCAACTACTCGATTGAACTTCCTGTGTTAAGTTACCGAGATGAACGTCTGACTGTCTCCTGCTGAGTAGCTGGTTGGTGGCTCGCTGCTGCTTGCTGCTGGTCAATTGCTCTCTCGTTGAAGCACTCAATACTTGCGTCACGTGACCTTTTGTGTTTGTGATGTCATGAAGTGCGTCGTAGGAACGCACAAATTTTTCCGCTGTTTGTTCGCTGGAGTGGTTAGCTGGTGAACGGAAGAATTCAAACTGGTTATCATCACACTCCGTGCAGGAAGAAGTGCCATTTTCGTCATCTCCGGTTGTCTTTATGGCACTCCCAAGTTGTGGTGATGATGGAGATAGCGAGGAGGATAAATGTGATGAGGTGGTTGAAGTTGCGTTATTGGCGCGATTGTGGTTGAAGCGATGGAAGCAGTTGCTGTGGTGATGTTGATGATGATGTTCGACTGGAAAATGCAGCCAGGTTGTCGGGGTGGGTTGCATCCTGAGCAGGAGGGTGTTGAGACACTCTATGCTGCCTGGATCAGGTCGTGCACCCTCACTGAACAAAGCCAGGAACTCTTTCAGATCTGCGTAGGAACATGACGACGACGACGAAGATGACGACGGTGACATCATCAAGGTCACGACCTTAAAAATTTCTTTCTTCAAGTCTGAACACTGCTCGTTGGATGTGTCCATGAGAAGTTGTCGACAGGTGGCGATCAGTTGTGCCGGGTAGTGCTGATGTCTGATGTAATCATTGGAGGATATCTTCTTCCTCAGCATACGCCTCATCAGCCGAACATACTCGAAGATCAAGTTTTTGCAAGTTTCATTTTCGCAGTCATCATCATCACAATGATCGTCATCATCATCATCATCATCATCATCATCATCATCATCATCATCATTGTCTTCCATGCTTTCTTTGTTATTAATTTCAACAGGATTATTTTTGAGGTCATCATCATCATTGCTATCTAAGCCAGTGTTTACATTACGATTGTTACAGTCCTGATGGTGATGATGTTGTTGATGATGATGCTGATAATGATCGTTTAAGAGTTTTAGCATCCGGATGATTGTGTCGAAGATTAGCTGACTGATCTTCAACTTGTTGAAATGTTTTAATTCTTTTATTTCAAACTTCTTTCGTCCGTCTGAACTTTTCTCAATATTGAATGCCTGTTGGTAGGAAAAACAGAGAAGAAACTGCTTTCAACGTCATCATAAATATTGCATCAGGGAGCATTACACACAAATAAAAATAACAACAACAACACCAGAAACAACAACAACACAACAACAACAACACAACAACAATAACAACAACACAACAACAAAAATAAAAAAATTACGTAGAATAAAAATAAATATATAATAAAGGTGATAGACTGAATCAGAAACCATGATCAGCTGATGGAAGGCCTGATATCTTCTGGGATTGGTCATCTGGCCCAGGAAAACGTCCTGCAACAAATGCAATGTTCTCGTGGCTATTGTGAGGAGGTTACTGACATTATCTAAAATAATATTATCGTTGTCGTTGTTGTTATTGTTGTTGCTATTGTTGTTGTTGTTGCTGTTGTTGTTGCTATTGTTGTTGTTGTTGCTATTGTTGTTGTTGTTGCTTTGGTTGTTGTTGTTGTTGTTGTTGCTATTGTTGTTGTTGCTATTGTTGTTGTTGCTGTTGTTGTTGCTGTTGCTGCTGTGGTTTTTGTTGTTGTTTCACTGTGATTGTTGTTGTGGTTGTTGTTGTTGCTATTGTTGTTGTTATTATTGTGTTTGTTGTTGTTATTGTTGTTGTTGCTATTGTTGTTGTTGTTGCTGTTGTTGTTGTGGTTGTTGTTGTTACTGTGGTTGATGTTGTTGTGATTGTTGTGGTTGTTGTAGTGGTTGTTGTTGTGGTTGTTGTTAGGGACACCATCGCCTTTGTTGTCGTTGTTGACATTGTTGTCATCGTTATTATCATCGACGTTGACGTTGGTTGTTGTGTCGTTGTTTGTGTAGTTGTTGATGTTATTTGTAACGTTTGTATTATTGTTTTGTAGAGAGTTGAAGATGGCGTTCATCAAATCAGTCTGAAGTTTCTTGAAAAACTGCTCAATTGTCGTGACCTGTTGGAGAAGATGGAGGGATGATAATTTGATCTCACTTATTAGTCTATTCGTTTAAGCTTATTTTAAATATTCTTGTAAAATTTTTGTAACCCTAATGACTTTTTCTTAACACTGAACTACTTAACCTTGCAGAGCAGTCAAGCATTTTCAAAAACTGACCTCGTTTAGAATTCCTGGTTTTCTGTTTGCAAAGAAATCCCAGCGATCATCATTATCATCACCGCAGTCATCTTCATCTTCATCGCCACCACCATCATTACCATTATTATTCAACATTAATTTGTAATTAATAGCATTCAGTAGGATGAACAGGATGGATTGAATGAACGAATGGTGGAGAAATGAATCTGTTATTGTAGTCTGTTTGTCGGTTTTCTTTCTACCTCTGTATGAGATGGCGAACGATGTGTCGATGTCTTTAATGTTGGCAGTGTTTTGATCACGTGGCATGACGACCGCGTTTATTTGGCCACTGAGGTAGAGATGGATGGAACGAATGAGAACACCGTACAAAGTTCTGCACGCCTGCCCGGTCAGAAGATGTTTGGCGAACACCAGGTTGTCAGCCTGGCTGGCTGCAAAGAACCACTTGTAAACAAATTCAAAACGTTCCCTAGTGCCTGCTGGAGGATGAATTTCATTCTCTGCATCAGAAAATGTCGACGAGTCTGTTGAAAAATAACGCAGCAACAACTCGTCCAGAGTTTTAACGTTGTAACGATGCTTAAGATTAAGTCCTTTGATTAATATCCCAATAATGTTGGTCCAGTGATGGGTTGTTTCTGAGTCGTTATTGACATTAATGTAGTTGTCCTGATTGTTAGTGTTGTTGTTGGAAATGTTGTTGCGGTGATTCGAAGTAAAATGTTCATCATCTTTATCAGCATTTTTTTCATCATCAACGATGACAAATACGTTCACCTGTTGGCTGGAGGACAAGGTTGATGTTGCCGATACAGAAGATGAAGAAAAAGATGGCAATGGTAGCAATTTTGATCGGTCGACATGAGTTGGAATTAATTTGGAGTAAATTCTCCAGATGTTGGTGGTGATGATGTAGTGATGTGCGTCATCATCAGTCAGTAACAACCCTTCAGAGAAACCATATAAAGCAGATATTCCCCCCAAATTAACAAAAATATTAATCATGTCATCACTGCTCAGTAGCTTATGAAGCGACTTCAACGAGGATATCATCATCAATATCAACCACTGATTGACTTCAAGTTTCTTCGATGAATGCAATTGTTTTGTTGAATCGAATGTTTGCAGTTCATTGACAGATTTTGTGTTGGCGATTGATGAAGTTAAAGATGTTGAGATGGAAAGGCTGTTAGTATTTGTTGTTACGGTGTTGGGATTGCTGCTCTGCGGTGTTGCGAGATTATTGAAGTTCTGCTTTGGTTTTTCATTTTGGAGTTGTGTGAAGTGAGGAAATTTGAAAACCTCGGATAGAATGTCAAGAACAAGAAGTCGTAAGTACTCCGATTTCAAGTCAAACGATAGGAAAGGTATAATCTCATACATCGAGTTTATAAAATGATTTTTCAATTCCAAACAAACTATATGAGATGACCAAAATGAAGACAAAGAAAGTATTGGTGTGGGATTGGCTGTGCTGGACAGAATGTTTGACCACCAAATTTTGACGCAGAACCATTTTGTGGTGCTTTTGACATTAAAATTTCGCATGTCACTTTCATTGAAATCGTTCACAGTTCCATCCTCTGATATGTTACTAATTTGTCTGGCGTTGCCATACAAAAACTTTTTTGACGTTTTTTCAATGCAAGTGACGCAAGATGTGGAATGCAGCAGGTCACAGACCGTGCCAGAAAACTGAGGAATAAACTGATGAATGAGAAGATTTATTAACTGCTTTTTGAGGTCAACATCCACCTCGTTGTACGTTTGCAAAATGAAATCTGACACTTTATTGAAATCTAAACAACAGCAGAAACCACATTCCGAAATGACGGACAATGCTGATGATTTCGACGAAGTGTTTCGTGCACTGCGAAATAAATGTAACAACAATCGTACGGTGGAAGCAACGAGACAATCGTTGTTGTCGTTGCGACTCTTACTGCCGATGTCGTTGGTTGCAGCATTGGTGTTATCAACGTAGTTGTTCTCGATGCCTCTGATTAGAATGTCGACATTCGTTGTAATTTTATGGAGAGGTGAGCCGAAAACAAAGTCATGGTGATGTCTTTTGTTGTTGTTGTTGTGATAAAAACGCTGGTTGCCATTGTTAACAGAGTTATTTGCAGATGTCAGTGTAGCGACGGGAGACGAGAATTTTATTTTCGTTGATGAAACATATTTTGATCTGACAAGCTTCAACAAAACAACAATTCTTCCCAGAATAGTTACTGAATTTTTAAACAGCTCCGATAAATAACTGCCACTAGCGGCACTCATAAATATCTCACTTCTGCTATTACTTCGTAATTTTTTGTTACGAACATCGGCAAGCAGAGCGTCATACTTCAAACAAATTTCTTTCAAGACGTTTACCAGAGGAAGCCTGAGGATTGTTTGGAAGTGGGAAGGCATAGAGGAAGCATCGGAAGATCTGCCGACCAACTGAGTGAGGTAGAGTTCGAACCTTAGCAGGTAGGTCATCAGGATGTGGTTTATGTGGGGCAGCGTCGAATCGTTGAGTAACAAAATGTTGAAAAGATTGGTTGGTTCCATTGTGTTATTTCTGCACCTTTCAACATTGTTGCTGATGGTAGCGTAGTTAGTAATGTTATCGTTGTCTTTATTTGTGTTGTCATCCAGTCCAGTACTAATTACATTTTTGGGAAGTAATTGGGCAAAAAATTTAATTAAGCTCCAACAAGACTCGTTCGAATGCTTGTCGAGTTCATCATGAACGAAACTTTCGCAACTTCTCTTACTCAGACTGACCATGGACATGGAAGTTATGATGGAACCGAGGAAGAGTAACTTGTTGTACGCTTGTACTTTATTTTTCATATTCAAAGATGTAGCTGGTTGTGATAAAGTAGAAGAGGTTGATGATTCTGAATGATATCCAGCGACAAAATCATCATTGCAAACTTCTGATGAAATCGCCACGTCAGATGTCGTTGATGGGATGAATATTGGGGAATGATTCACCGCGTTGAATTCGTCGACAAACATTTTGACACACTCATCATAATGCACCTGGATCTTACGGGTGTGTTTATTGGAGTGACCCTCATCAAAACATGTCAAGTCTTGTAGGACAGAGAGATACAGCATGCAACAGTCCATCCACCCGTCCACCAACTGAATGGGAATGTCATTGATGACACTCTCTATCACCTGAGGTACGAACTCACATTTGAAATCCTTCAATGAATTTATTGAATAATTTAAAATAAGTTTTGCACTTCTGAGAGAAGAAATGAAATTTTTTGACAATTTTGATTTGGTTTGATTTTCTCCCGAAAATTTGGATATGATGTTGAAGTTGAGACTGTACGAGGTTGTGCATAGAGGCTTCAGTAGATGGAACAGTGTACGCATTTCTTTCCTTTGCTGCACCAAATTTCCATCTATGGTGAGAGTGATGTTTTCGTAGTCACACGAGTACAGCGTCGTGGAATCTGTGCACGGAACATAATGTTTGGTCATCTGTACTGGCTGTGTACGCTTTTTGTAGCACTCATTGTTTTAGTTCTATTTATTAATAGCAGTTTAAATAGGTTGCACTAATTTTTTGCAAACATAGAGCTTATTTAAGAAATATTAATTAAAGTTTGATTCCGGAGAAGATATGCATTAATTACCACTCTTATGCCAGTCCAACAATTTTGTTCAGTTACATCAAAAGTGTTCGTGAGTTCATGTTTTTTTTATAGAAATTTGAGCGCGAAACATCAACCAACGAATGAGTGAATGAAAACGTAACGTCTGATCAGTCCAATGCTCTAAATCTGACATTTTTGCGTTCATTACTCAGCGTATAAAAAAAATTAAAAAATTGACTGACTATTGTTATTTTAATAAATAAATTACTATCTACTGTGTTGCTTGTAGACTTATTGTGCGTACCAAGACTGTGATAACCACAAATTTTTAGGTGCTGTTAAATATGTCTGGAAATTGAAGTAATTTTGTTGCGTTAAGAGCCGGTTAAACAAAATTAGAAAACAGTCTCAAAATTTGTAGAACATTTGAAAATATTTATAGAAATGATAAATGCGATCGTTTGCTTGCTCAATTTTGTTTTCATTGTTAATGGGCTGTTACGATTAATCAAATTTTATTAAATTATTCAAACTATCAACATCATCAATATAATTAAAATCATCATTGTCATCGCATCATCATTACCATCATGAAGAGTACTTGTTGTTTCGTGAAGTTTATTTTTCAATCCATACTTGAAGACATTTTTGAACCTCTCCAACAACAGACAGCAGAACTCTTGTCCCTTGTTAATTTTCTTCACAAAAAAATATCTAAATTAATTTATCTATTTATTCAAGTTGCTATCACGTTCTTTCATCAATTTGGTCAAGTTATCAGTACGATCTATGCTATTTTGTTTATTCATCTGATTTTTTTCATTTTGATCAATAAACTTTTTTATTTAGTATCATGATATCATTTTTATAATAAATAAATAAATAAATAGAATTTATTTATATTAATAGAAGAAAAAAAGTAAAATTTAATAATAATAGTTTTAGCCAAAATCAAATAAATCTCATGTAGAAACAAACATAAAATATAAGCAATGATAGGTATTAATGATATGAATTATCATTTATATATTACTTACTTATTATCACTTAATGAGTAAATAATTAAATTAATTAATTAGATTAGAATTAAATCAACCCTACTCACCTGCACGTTAATGAAAACAACTGAAGATAACAAAACAAATAAATAACGATCCCTCAACGATGATGACGATGATGAAGAAGAGGATGATGAAAAAGATGATGACGACGAAGATGATGAGGATGATGTGTGTAAAGTTGAAGAAACAAAGAATGGAAATAGCGGTGATGGTGATAATGATGATGATGACTTCTTAGATTCGGACGTGTCAATGTACTCTTGAACCAGAATGTTGGCCACTTTGAATCGGAAGCTGTTGTTGTTGTGATTGTGTCTTCTGTTGTTGTTGTCATTTTGTTTATTGTTGTGGCTGTTGTTAAGGTTTTATAATGTTTGTTATTTATGTTTTTGTCACATTTGTTACTACAAATGGCCATAATAACAATACGCACAGAAAAAGCCAATAAATTTCAAAGCACAATTAGCAAAAATCGGATAATAATATTAAGATTTTCACTAGCACCCACAAAAACTTTACAACGATCACAACTAATTTTTTTAACCATATTTTGACGTAACAACTCTCATCACAATGATTAAAAATTTTGCGATCAGAGTTAGGCTAAGAGGGCATATCCATCCAACAACCAGAGCAGAACTCCGAATTTGTCAATTAATACAATGTCGAAATAAAAACGAATGTATGTCTAAGCATTTCAATAATCCAACGAGTAAATGACATATCGCAATTTTAAAATAATGGTTTAAAAATGACAAATTTCTGAAAATAGCTTAAAAAAATGCAACCCTCCTAACAAGTTGTCATGTTTCTCTCCGGGTCGTTGACTTTTGCTGAACGTGCTCAAGAAACTCTTCAAGGAATCAAGTTTCGCCTATGTCATTGGATAGATGTGGTGGTGAAATGGCGATTATGGGGTAACGTTGCGACGATGTGGTGATGATAAATTTGATTAAATTGTTTCGTCAAGTATGAAAAAATAATACAACTATGGTAATTAATAAATAAAAATGATGAACAACCTTGACATCCGACGCATGCTCATTAACATAATATATGTAATTGTTCCAGGCTATGTTGAGGTCAGTTTGGGTCATCATTGTGGTGATTTTGTCGACAAAAGAGCGTTATCTTTGTAACAAGAGATGTTTCAAAGCAACAATTAATTAAATTTAAGATGAAGAAAATTTGTTATATCGCAAAAAGTTATGAAAACGTCGGTATTATAGTTTTGAATAAGTTAGACCATTAAAATTCTAAAATAATACATTGAATTAATAAATTTAATTAACTTATGAAGTAGTCGAAACCAATTTCCCATCAAAATTAATATAAAATAACATATACAAACTTTAATTAATTAGTTTTATTTTTTTTAAACAGTTTTACTATATCTAACTTTTCAGAAATTTATAAACTCTTTTACGAATTAATTACATCTATCATTTTTTTTATTAAGCTATAATAGTAAAATGTTAAAAATTATCCGAATAGCGAAAAACCCGATGTACAATTTTGGCTGTCCAAATATTCAGAGAAAACATTAAAATATTTTCAGGCAAGCGTTTCATCTGCATGTTACTTGAAAAGTTAAACAAGATGCAGACATCAGAATGTACGAAGATTAGAGACATTATCTGGGAAGAACATTATGTGAGTAAAAAGGCACACGTACACGTAGCTATTAAGGCAGAACTTTAATATTTACATATGATATATATATATATATATATGTATGTATATATATATATATATATATATATATCATATATCACTAAAGTTAACTTTAGTGAGAAAAATCGAAAAAACGAACTACAAACATTTTAACGCCAAACATTCGGTAGAATTTATAGAATTATGGTCTATTACCAACATATATATATATATATATATATATATATATATATATATATAATAATTTATATATAATTATATAGTATATGCCAAAGATTAATTAATCTTTTGAAACAGTCAGAAGCACTTCGATCAGTTACATTTCATTCTACCTAGAAAGGCCATACACGACCACACGATCATGTGACCTCATTTACTGCTAGCTAGACACCTGTTTGGCGGTCATCATCATGTCACGTGAATGCATTACATTAGAATGTTGTTCAAACCTCAATGCCTAGCCAGCTAGCCAGTTTATAGAATCCCTCGATACCAGTATATATATATATTTTTTTAATATTTGAATGTTAATTATCATTATTAGTACTTACCGATTTCAACCGATTGAAAAGTCAACTATAGGGTTCTGTCTGCTTCCGTTCTTTAATTTTTCTCAAACATTTTGTAAGATATGCAAGTAGAATCTTTAAAGAATGGATGGTTTGAAGTGGTTAACTTTTATTGTGGGCTCCAACGTATGAGTAAAAATATTTAATGGTTGCACATTGTCTCCATCATGAAGCCACACGAACATAGTCGTGAAATCATACGATCGTCATTTTTTAAAAACCACGATTGGAAAAATTAACAAAACATTATGTATTTATTATTTTAAAAATATATAGTTACTTGTCTCTGCTGTTGTTTTTTTAATTAAGGAAACAAAACAATAAAGCTTGGTTTAAAATTGAACTACGCAGACAATTAAAAGACGTTGCGTATATCGCAACATTCCATACTTGTTTACAATTGATGTATGACAATATGTACGGAGAGATCAATGTGTTATGAAGTTTTTTCTAGGATTGACTTTTGAACTGTGTTCATTTTGCAGGCAACGACGTGTCACATATCATACCGAAACAACACACGAAATAGTTAAAGGTTGATACAGAACAGACTGCATTTCTGTCTGTCTGCATGGGTATGCGTATGAAAGTACGTCAGAGCGATGGTTTAAGTGTATGTGCGTGTTTGTATGTGTGTATGTGTGAGTATATACGTCTTTGTTTGTCTGTATATATACTTATTTGTATATGTGGGTTTTATCATGCATATGTGCTTATATTAGTCAATGTATCTGTGCATGAGTGTATGCGTGTGTGTATAGACTCGTGTTATGTATCTTGTATATGTGCGTTCTTATGTGTGTGTTTTTGTGTGCATATTTGCAATGCGTAAATGCGTATTAAGCGTATGTATATGTGTACGTACATGTTATTGCGTGCATGTTTTGAAGAGTTGACTATCCGTAAGTGCGTGTGCATGTAATGTACGTGCGTATATGTATTCTCGTATATGCGTTTGTATATGTCTCTATGCCTAAATGGCCGTATTCATGTGGCTGAGTGTATTTGAGCGTTTGGGCATACTTGTTGTTTGCGTGTGGTGAATTAAAGCGTATGTGTGTGTGTGTGTGTGTGTGCGGTGTGTGGGTGTATGTATGTGTGTGCGCATGTGGTGTGTGGATGTATGTGTGTGTGTGTTTGTGTGTATGTATGTGTGTGTGTGTGTGTGTGTGTGTAATAAATTTGATAAACACCCTCGTTGGTGCTCAGGACTGCCTCTTGTGAGGACCGGACCGACGAAGCATATCACAACGTGGAAATGTGAGAACAAATTATCACTTATTCATTGGGAAACAGATTATGTACATGGTAATAAATTGAAGCAATTATTAATTAGTAATAATTAATTAATTAGTAAAACAATGCCGATACAAATGTTAAAGGTTGTATTCCATGTTGATAACGAGTTATAAGTCAATAGAAATGCAGATAAAATGCAGTCAAAAAATTAATCGAATTATTAAATTTTAATACTTTATAATTTTATTATAATAAAATAAAAATACCTGTCTTTGAAGACAAAACAACGCAAAATTAAAAAAATTAAAAATAAAATAAATGACTTACTGGGTTCGAAATTGAAGTCATAAAAAACATGGAAATTTTATTAATTTTATTTAATTAAAAGCATTTATTTAAAATTTTAATTTATATTTCAATTAATTTATAAAATTAACTTTGCGAGTTTCAAACGTTATTTATATAAATAAAACATCAAATAGTTGTATTAAAAACAGCAATAAAAGTTCTAAAAAAGTTGACTATTTCAATAAGAAAACTTTGAGTTAATTAAATTCATCCATTTATTCATTCATTTGAGGGGCAGCTGATATGAATTTAATAAATAATTGGCGCCAGTATATTTTGCAGGTGTGTTCATCATGACGTGATTGTAGTTTAAATGTGCATTCGAATTAAAATTATTCTGTTATTTTTACAATTTATGAAAAATCATGTGGGGGATTTTTATATATTTTGACCAATAAAAAATAGAAAATGAAACCAGCTTGACGTGTTGTTTCAGACTTTTGTTTAATAAATATGGAGAACGTTGTATATAAAATATATACAAATTTTCGTCCGTATTATAACAAAATAGAGGGGACTGTGGAGTTTACACACAACTTATCTATATCTATATCTATATATATATATATCTATATATATATATCTATATATATATATATATATATATATATATATATATATATTGTAAAAATAATAACATGTGACTGAAAATGTTCAAAACTCAAGTTAATCCATGCAAGTTTAATAATGTTAAAATTTGCTAATGCATGCAAAAAAAGAAAATCCCGGTACATTTGTACAGTACATTGCAGGTACAGAGTCTACAACACATACAGCAGATACACACAAAACCAAGAATTTCGAATGATGTGTTGAGGTAAGTATATAGTTTATTCATTTGTACAAACGAAAAATACATACGAAATATTGTATTAATACAAAATACTGTTTTGTAAAGTATTGTAATATATTGTATTGTAATTTAGGCTTATTGCATTTTTTGTAATGTTTTGCATCGTAATGCATCGTACTGCATAGTATTGTAATGCATCGTAATGTAATGTATTGTAATGCATTGTATTGTATTGTACTGTAAGGTACAGTAGTGCACTGTGCTATAATGTAATGTACTGTATTGTATTATATTGCATTGCATTGCGTTGCATTGCATTGTATTGCATTGTAATATATTGTATTGTATTGTAGTGTATTGTATTGTATTGAATTGTATTGTATTGTATTGGAATGTATTGTATTGAATTGTATTGTATCGTTCTGAAGATTTGTACAGGCCTATTTTGAGTTGCCTTGAGTTTAAAGAATTGCCAAGCGACTGAAAAAAAAATGAAATGGAGTTTTAATCGCAAGATGCACGCTCTCTATGGTTCTTTTCTTGTGTGTGTCTGTTTCACGCCGCTGTTCAGTCGTTTTGTATGCACTTTTATATACCAAACTTTGTATATAAGAGTGTTTATGCAAATGATGATGGCAGTGCTAGTAAATGTGTTTGTGCATGAGACATGTTGGTAGCAAACATGCGTTGTTCGTCTTTTGTATGTACTTGCACGTGATGTAGGGATTAATGTTGTTTGGACGATATGCAACTCCCGTTTGAACATACGAAGCCATTTCAAATAATGCCTGGTCAGAACTCTCCACCAATCAGTCGATGCTGAGTCCCTTTGTTCCATTTCCAAATGACTCAACGAACAATTGTCTTAATTGAAAATAAATAAACAAACAGGCAGACAGATAGGTAGGCAGACCGATAAAAAAGCAGAGAGACAGAGAAAGACAGAGAAAGATAGACAGATACTTCAATGTTCCAGAAGACACGTGAGCCGACGGAAATTAACGCATTTGTGTTTGGGCAGGCGTGTTGCGTGCATGACGCGTGGTAGGATGGTCACCGGTGTTGAATAAATTAACATCATGCAAGATTGTTTTATATTGAAACAAAGGAATGGACAGACAGTTTGATGGATGGATAGATGTAATGTTGACAGATATATAAATATAAAGAGAAAAAGGCAGACAGACAGACAGACAGACAGACAAATAGGTAGACTGAGAAATTAGAGACAATTTATTGCGGTTTGTTTGTTTGTTTTACTGAAAATGCTACCATAAAATACTTCTCTTATGTTCTTTAATATTTGGTGAATGTGCACTGAAGCACTTCTCGTTGAGAAGTTTAAGTTGTTGATGTTGACTACCAAGTGTAGGGAACATTTCAAAAATTGTGTGCTGTTAAAGTGATCACGTGGCTGAACATACAAACTATTGGTATGCACATTGTGATCATCCGAACTATTGCTAGTAATCAT